TTTGGCACCGCTTTTTGAAGAGGATGATGAATTAGAAAGTAGGGATTCATTGTATGATGAGCTGGCTACAGAGACAGTGAATGATGTAGCCACCAGTGAGCTTGACATTTACTTGTTGGAAAAGGCTGTGCCAAGGCAAAAAAACAGATTGGGTATGGACTATGATGTCTTATCATGGTGGAGACGCAACATCCATAAGTTTCCAGTCTTGTCAGAATTTGTGAAAGATGTCCTTGCCATTCAAGTGTCTTCTGTGGCTTCAGAGTCGGCATTCAGTACAAGTGGAAGGATTTTGGATCCTTTCCGGAGTTGTCTATCCCCTCACATGGTTGAATCTCTCATTTGCACACAACAATGGTTGAGGAATACCATTCATCAAGAGAAGCTTGCAAATTTGGTTCAAATGATAGAAGAATTGGATTTCCATGAGTCCTTGGGTACTCAAATTTCTTGTTTCTTATAGTCTTTCTATGATTTACTAATTTTTCTCTCATATCTTATTGACTTACTTCATTATTTTCAGTTGCAGGATCCAAAACAGTGGCTGATGATGCAGACTTGCCGCCGTGATCACTTGAAGGGCTCTGTCTTTTTGGACCATCACCATGTGTACCCAAACTTGTCTCTCTCTCTCTCTCTTTAACTCTTAACTCTTTATTCTGATATTATGTCTTTTGAACTTATGAAATATGAATATTGTTTGTTTACCTTTGAACTTTTGGTAATGCCTTTTGGTTTTGGATGTTGTTTGATCAATGGTGATGATTGATGAATGATGATATTATATTTCTTATGATTTTTGTTTGTTTGATTGCATATTGATGAATTGATGATAATAGCAGGTAGATATAAGTAGAAATGGTGATTTTTGGTTGCATAAAATTGTATTTCGGTTTAAATCGGTTTAATTTTGGAAAACCGAAATAACCGGTTTTCGAACCGACCGAACCGAAATCAATTTCGGTTATCTTCGGCAACATTTAAAATTTCACAATTAACCCGAAACCCGAACAAACCGACCCAACCCGACCCAACCCGACCCGAAAACCCGAACTCGCAGGCCTATGGCAAACTATTGGGTACGTTTGACATTTGATTAAAGAGATAATGGCTATGATTGGTAACCAATTTTAAAGATGTACAGCTTATGACAGTTACCAATCACAAAAACTTTATGAAAAGCGGTACACTATAAAATAAAAAAAAAACTGTATTTTTGGACAAAAACAAAAATAAATTAATACGGTTACGATTAAATACGGTTATAACGGTTACGGTTAAATACGGTTATAACGGTTACGGTTAAATACGGTTATAACGGTTACGGTTAAATTCGGTTACGGATAATTATGGTTATAGTTATTTGATGACTACAATACAGTTAATATCGGAGGCAAAATCTTACGAGTTACCTAACTTATTATAATACTTTTCATAAAATCAAAAAATATGTTACAAACCAAATATTCTTCATTTCGAGCAAAATAACAGTATAACATATTTGTTTGAGAAAAAGACCATTTTTTATAACGTAGATTTTTTCATATGCGGTATCATTTACTTTTTTGAAAATTTTAATCTGAATATTCGATAATTTTTTTTGCATTATATGGAGTTACAATTATATTTTTAAAGTTTTAACTATGCGGTTAACCATATGGTTAAATAACGGTTTTCATATGTTTACCGTTAATTAACGGTTACGGTTAATATATTTTTTAACTGTAACTAATTATTTTTTACGGTTACGGTTTTTAACCGTTTTATATGGTTACGGTTGAGAAACGGTCTGGTTACGGTACAACATATGGTTACGGTTAGCTTTTGGTCATGCCTAGTAAGCATGACCAAAAGCCAACCATAACCGTATTTTGGATCGTAACTGGACCGTTTTTCAACCGTAACAGTATAAAACGGTTAAAAACCATAACCATTCACCGTAAAACTAAATTAGTTACGGTAAAAAAAATATAATAACCGTAACCGTTAATATACCGGAAACGTATCAAAACCTTTATTTAACAGTACGATTAGCCGCATGGTTAACCGTATTATTAACCGCATAATTAAACTTTATAAAATATAATTGTAACTATGTATAATGCAAAAAAAAAAGTCTCAAATGTTCAGATAAAGATTTCCGAAAAAGTAAATAATACAGCCTATGAAAAAATCTCATTAGAAATAATAGTTTTTTTCTCAAACAATTATTTTGGAATGTTATATTGCTCAAAATAAAGAAAATTTTATTTATTATAGGACTAGTAAATTCATATTATTATTCTAACAATAAAATATTGTTCATTCTATATAATCTTAATTTTCATATGTAATTATATACTAAAGTATATTTCTATATAATTTTTTCTTTCTTTCTAAATTCTTAATATTATTTATTATGTGTACCGCTATGATGTTTCTAATCAGAATAAATTTTTAAAATTTGTTCTGCGTTATTTTTTTGTACAGCTTTCGTGTTTTATTCTTTTGTACAGCTTTGCACTATTCCCTAACAGCTAACAGCTCCAGCTAACCGCTCCAGCTAACAGCTTGTTACCAATCAGACCCAATAAATCCAGCATATAATTGATATGTAACCTCGAGTAGCATAACGATGACTAAGACCGTTTAATTTCATGGATATTCCACTTTATAAGACCACGTAGTTTATGGACAGCTCATCTCTTTTTTCATGATTATAATTATCCTAAAAACGAGATGTTGGAAGTTAAAAAGATATTCATGTGACAGGACTAGACATGTCACATTTTTTATCCTCCCCATATATATTATGATCATTCGTCATTCATTTCAAATAGATTCAGATTATATTCAGCCTACATTTATTTTAGGGTAATTACTGTTAGCCCTGAGACGGATCCGAATATCCGCAAAATTAGGTGTATCCGGATCCGGATCCAAATCCGGCCGGATCTGTAATTCTATTATTCGGATCTGGATCCGAAATCCCGGATATCCGAATCCGTGAAAAAAGTCAGATATCCGCCGGATATCCGGATCCGATCCGAATTTAAGATTTCATCGCCAAAGCTGTGAAAATTGAAGAAACTTGATTCAAACTTCAGATCTTCGAACTATATATCTGGATCGTGATTGCCGTTTTCGGCTTCGTTAGGTCTGATATAACACATCTTTTTCGGATTGAGTTTCTCCACTTCCTCCTCCTCCTCCGTCAGCGCCGCTAGCGTCGCCTCTTTTTCTAGATCCGGTGACTTAACGGAGAAAACAACATAGAAAAGGATGTGGATTTATGTTGAGAAGAGACAAAAGACAAGAGAAAACTTGTGAGAACAAATTTTGTGAAACCCTAATTCCAAATCGATGTCGGCTTGACAGAGAAAGAAGAGACTTCGTTGTTTAGACAAATTCATTATCGTTTTGTTGTTATTGTTTTTTTTGACCATTTGGGCTTTAAATTTTTTAGCAAACATACGTGGATTTTAGAAAATAATGTTAATGTATGATAAATTCATGACCCATCTGTTACACATCCCGGATCCTGGATATCCATTGCTCGATTTTCTTATTATCCGGATCCGGATATGGATCCGACGGATCCAAAATTTTATTATCCGGCCGGATAATAAGTCCCAGGTCTAATTACTATTAGTTCCTTTTAGTTTTCTTTTCACCTGCTCAGTAACACTCTTACATTTCCTTTTTTTTAGAAAATAACATTCTCAATTTGCTTTAACATAATTACCCCTTGAATTGAATTTGTCATTTTAATTATACTATTGATTGGACCAAAAAAATTGCCGACGATGCTGTCCACACTTGCATTGTAATAACTAATTTGAAATATGGAAATTTTGCCGATAATTCGAAAACTTCAACCAACTCTCAACACTTTTCAAAATTTCTTGTTTACTATATATATATTTCCAATAGTATCAGTATGTTCCACTATTAAAACTCTTGTAAGTTTCCAGCTTTTTTACACGTTTTTAGAATCTTTCTTTAAGCTTTCATAAGTTTCTCTTTAATTTTACAGAAGTTTCTCATGTAAAACACTGTTCGTCATTCAGTGGTAGTTTATTTTTATTTTTAATCTAAATCTTAATTAGATCGCAAAATCTAAACTCTAGTTCCAAAATCATTTTATATTAATATTTGTTGACAAAAAAAATTACAAACCCCAAATACCTAATTTAACTCCTATTTAGCTAACTAATTAATTAAGCTCACGAAGATGGTGACGGCTGAAGATTTGAAGTGTGAAATCTATAGAAGACAAAAGTTCGGCTATAAGGAAAATAAGAGAAGGTAAGAGACATAAAATGAAAAAGAAGAGGAACTCGGGATACAAGTTATACAGTATGAGGAAATTAGATACTCATTCATTTTTAATATTAAAGTCTTAAACATTATTTTTAATTTGATGATCATAGAGAATTGATAAATTACTCTTTAATCTAACATATCGAAGAATTAGAACCCAAACAAAATAATCTGTATGGAGCTAGCTAATCAGATCTGATTATATCAAAAGCCTTTCACTTTTTAATGCTAAAATAAAACGAGTTGTATGATGCTATTGTGTGGCCTATATTGTCTAACAAAATATTTAAGTGGGAAATTTTGGTCATTAGCTTACTAATAGATGATGATAAAGTATTGCCTGGATGTACATATGTGGCTGTGTAATGTGTGCGTCAGCTTGGACAAGTTGCTCACGCTTTGTGTTTTTTTGTTTTATTTTCATGTTTACCCTAACTCACTTTCTCCGTTCCATTTATGTCGACAGAACAAGAACTAATGAATGTTGAGGCTCAAATTTAGAATTAATGATTAAAGCTAAATTCTACTTTTTCTTTCCCCGTTGATTAGATTTTTTGTTAAGATTTTTTTTTATAAACAAAATGTATTATTTAATATTTTAGTTTAAAACAGTTCATTTTAACCAATCATAGAAAATACAGCAAAAAAAAATTATAAAATATTAAGTACATTATAATTTTGCATAAAATTTTGCTAAACATATAATAAAATAAAACAAATAAGGAAACCTAAATATTAGATAAAATGGGACAGAAAGAATATCTTTCTTGTTAAAAAACAAAAACAAAAACACGCAACAGTTTTGAACTTTTGATGATTTGAATTATTACTATATCCTAAAGTTAGTGGACTTTTATTTATCGCTTATTCACTTGATGATAATTACTAACAAAAATTTCACTTTTTTTCTTCCCGTTCTTTCCCGACAAACAAACTGATATTTATATATACAAAACACAAATAGAGGGATGTCAAAAAAAAAAAAAAACACAAATAGAGTTTTGTACACGTATCATTATGGAGCTCACACACGCAGCAAAAAAAAAAAAAAAAAATTCTTAGCTAAACTTAAAAAAAAAAAAGGGTCTTAAAAAAAACGTGATTAACAAAACATTGATTATAGTAATGATACAAAATAAACTGTTAGAGATCCCACGACAAGCCATGGCCAAAATAAGGGCTAATTCCGTAACCGTAGTTATCTTCCGACGACTGTCCCCACGGCGGCGGATATAAACAGTAGTCCACTGAGTCAGAGAACACAAACTCGTTCCCAAGGTTAGCCGAGTCGAAGTCGTAACTTGCTCCGAGACTTGGCAGCTCCACAATCTCACCCAGCTCCTCCGACTCAGTCCTCGAGAGGTCCATCACCAACACAAGAGACTCAAGCGAAGACGTAGAAGACGACGACGACGACGATGTGGAAGATGAAAACGACGTCGTAGGTTCCATGTGAGCTGCTTTAAGAGCTGCGGTCTGAATGTCTCTAGGGCTTAGCGAGACGGGTCGAGGGAATGAGTCAGCAAGTTCAGGGAAGTTTAGTATAGCGGAGGTTCCTTTTATGCTCAGAGCCGCCACGTCGTGTGCACGCGCCGCCATCTCCGGCGTCGGGAAAGTTCCGAGCCAAATACGTGATTTCTTCCTCGGCTCACGAATCTCCGACACCCATTTTCCCCAGTTCCTCATTCTTACTCCACGATAAACTGGGTGTTTACCGGAGTCTATCACACGTTTCGTCTTCTTATTCTCGCTTTGCTCTGCTTTGCTTTTCTGACTCACTGAGTCAGACTCCGAGTTAGGGACAAGATGCTGAGTTACTCTCTCCGAGCGGAGGTTATAGTATTCCTCCACGGACGCACTATCTGCCATTGTTTAGCTTAGGCACAAGAATCGTACAAGTCTATTATTCTGATTGCTTTTTACGATTCGGATCCCAAGATTTATGCAAATAAAGGAAATAGCCTCAGGGGAAGAAAAAAAGTTTGGGAACTATTCAAAATGAGGGAAAAAAAACAGGGCAGTGAACTTTAAGAAGAAATGGGCGAGAAACTTTCATATGGGAAGAAGAAACGTTGGTGAAATTTTGTCTAACACTTCTCAGTCACTCAAAATATTTATATGCATTAATATTTTTGGGTACGGGTAAGAGAAGGAGGTAATAATGGGACCAAAACAATGCAATAAGTCTATTGAATAAAGGAAATGGACCCAATGCCTCTATTTAATTTGTTTTTTTCTATAGTCCCACTCTATTTTTTAATATATATACATTGTTATTAGTATAAAACGACACACTTGGGTCACTGTTTGCTTTAAAGGTTCTTAAAATCTTATTATGCAACTAAATTAGGAAAAAAAACCCAATACTTTTATATACAAATGATTATTAGAGGACCATATTTAGAATAGCAATGTTGAAGTATTAGACCAACGACTTATTCCCGGGCGGGTACGTAAACTTTATGAAATTTGTCTCTGAGATGAACATGATGAGACAAGCCTTTTTTGTTTTGTTTTGTGTGGTAAGGAATTTTTCACCTCAATTTTACTGTTTAATTATCCTATAACCTGATTTTTGACTCAGTGTATCATACATGCGCATTTACATATTCATATGTGCATAAGCCTGCTCATGTGAAATCTATCAGCCAATTGTTATTAGATTGAAGTTGGTTCCAAACGAAAAAACAGACAAATAATTAAGTACATTTTCGTGTAATAACTATTACAAATATAAGAAAAGAAGTGTATGTAAACGAAGCTTCAAGAAATGTCAAGGGACATTATTTGTTCAATCATGGGACCGTATTTGTGTACCTATAAGGACGAGTTTCTGTCAAACATACACAATATATATTATTTTCTAAAGTCTTCTATTAATCATGCCAAAAAAAAAAAAAAAAAATTTTAATAACCATTTTGCTTTTAATGTTTACAGATTATAGCCATAACTAAAGTACTTGCAACGAACGACGTTATTTGTTCCTTGGCCTCTAGTTTCAGCAAGACGTATATGCATTTTATATTGATCATATACATATTACTAGTTAATGAGTTTTAAAAAGATCAACAAAAGTTATAGAAAGTACAAGTTTCTAATTCAAAATTACTTGACAGTAAAGAAAATGACTCTTGTGTTTTATTATTAATTTTTGTAAAACAAATGTTATGTGAGATTCTTGTAGGTCTATTTGAGATGAGAACGGAAATCATTCATTGTTTTGGAAATACAAATACAAGACGAGAACAGTTAATGAGATCAACCGGACAACAAAACTATCAAATTAAATACTACTTCTTCCGTCTCACCAAGATGAATTTTTTAAAAAAAAAATTTGTCCCACAAAGATAGAAGTTTTGTGTTTCCAATGTCAAATTTAAAACAATTTACCTATTTTACCTTTATTAAACAACAATACATAATATACTCTTTAAAATATGTTAAAAGGTTAAAATTGTCATTGTACATTATCTTTTAAAAAGAATGTGAAATTTCTAAAAAATCTATTTTTCTGGAACGGAAGGCTACTAATTTTGAAAATTTCTTCTCAAGACTAACTAACTAGTAATAAATAAATGATTCATGTTTTTTGTATTAAATTAAATGCTATAACCTAGTAGTACTTTATTTGAGCTACAAAAGTATTTTAATCAAAATAGTTTTTAATACGTGTCAATTTTCATTATGATATTATATTTTCTTCCTTATGCCCTTAATTTGGCCTTTACAAGATCGTTCAAGCTTTCTTTTTACTCATTTCAGAAATTGTCCTCTAGTTATGAATGGAGACATTCTCAATAAACGAAGCGGACCCACTTATATAAATAGAGGGAGAGAAAACAATTTTATATGTATTTAGTATTTCCTTTATTTTATTTTTTTGTCAATTTTATGTGTGTTTGTTTAGGCAGACGAAACCAAATATCAATATCTCCCGACTATGGTTTTATTAGGTGTACAGAGACTATAAAGTCGAAATTTTAAAAGAGGGTCCAAAATAAGCCTTTTGGAAAGAGGACCTTTTTTTATACAGGAAAGAGACATTTGTTTGCTTTGTGTTCTCGTCATTTGGTAAGATTTAAAGATATATACAAGGTCAAAAAATAAATTACAGTGTCAGAGTTCAATTATGAATATGCAATGCAGAACTCTCAGGTGTTTTTGGTAGATTGTTTGAACTCGGTGTAATTTGCTTACAATTTTTTTTAAAGAATTTGACTGGATATACATATACATATATATATATATATATATGTGTGTGTGTGATGGAATTTTATAGAAACCCAAGCCACAACTTTTTGTTTTTATATTTAGTATATAAAAATAAGGGTGATTTTGAAAAATACTCTGTTTTTGAGTTATACTTTGAAATATACCTTTTTCTATTTTTTTTAATAAAAACTACAATTATATATAAGATGACAATTTTGTTTAAATTTAAATTTAAAGCTATATTTTTAATAAATTAAAAAATGAAATTTAGAGAAAAATATATACTAAATTCGAAATAATATTAATCATGGTTATATATATTTTTAACACAAAAATAGTTTATTTATTTTGATATATTAAATTTTAACAAAATTATAAAGTCTATCGCTTAATATCTATCATATTATATAAAGAAAAAAATCTCCAACGTACGAAACACATTTTTTAACTAAACATATTACCAAAGTTTGTTTCAATTAACGATTCTCTTTAACATATTTTTGCAAAGTAAACAATTTTATGTTTTTTCAATAATAATGAATCATTAAAATCTGCACCATATGACTTAACAAAAAATAATGACTTAACATTGGTAAAATGCTATTATTCATTATTGTTCTTAAAAAATATTTAGGATAATGAATCTTTGGAACTATTAGTTATATAACATTCAAAGTTACAAAACAACATCCATGGTGAAAGACGAACATGATTTGGTCAACGGACACTTTGTAAAAATTAGATATTTAATTATTACCAATTAATTGATTTGATATTAAAAATATAGATCCTTTTGCTTCAATAAGATTTTTTTAGTAATTTTATAAATTTAAAAATTGTTTTTAAAAGAAAAACAAAAGAGGGTATTTTTCAAAAGTCTAAACAAAGAGAGGATATTTTTCCAAATTTACTCAATAATATAAGTATAAGTTATAAATTCAATTGCGGCTATTTCTTTCAAAAGATTGGCTGATATTTTTTTTTTCATTTATCGCCTCACATGAATTTTTTTTAAACGTTTTATACAAGGCACGATATGCTTAAGTTTCTTACAATTTGATTCATTATACCCGGTTCTATTTTAAGTTGGCATATCTTCGGACCATCCCGGTCCATTCCAAAACCACAGTGATATAATTAGACTTGAGGTAGTTTTATGGAGAGATTCATTGTGTTGTTTACAGAATAAAACACATTTATTTGAAGTTAGAGAATAACTATATGCCCTCCACATTCTTCTCTGACGAATGAGCATATAATTAAATTGCAGTTAATATCATGGTGGGTAGCTGTTTATTCCCCCTATTCAACTACTACTCAACGAGTATATGTACATATATATCACTATCTTGTGTATGTTCCATTTGAGAGACAAAAGATTGGCAGATAGAGAACATTGAGACACGTCGAGGTGTAGGACATTTACTACTCTCTTAACAGTTAACATGTTTTTGCTTTGGAGAGACTAGAGAGTCTGGGCAACGAAACACGCAAATGGTTATCGTTTGACCCATTAAAATCTTGAATTGCTAAATTTTTAATTTTATTTTTAATTAATATTGATCAATTGAAATGAGATTAATCTGCTTAAAAACATTCATCCGAGCTATCTTGGTTGATTTAACAACGTTATATATATGCTGATGAAAATACAAAAACGTACTGTATCGGTTAAGTTCAAAGCCCATTTTTCTGTATTAATGCAGTCGTTATTCGTATAATAATTTGGATTCGCATATGATAATACTTGTGAGTTATATATATATATATATATAGAACAAATATAAATCTCTTTATCTTCGATTGGGACTGACAAAAAAAAATTAAGATTCATGACTCGTTGTCATGAAGATTTTAGATAAATTTGAGATTTTGTTGGTTTTAGGAAAAATGGATCACTTGGCCCGTATTGTACAAAAATGTGTTTAAAAATCTAAAACACCGACAGGACTGTGTGATGGAGATCTGGAACAGGAGGACCATTAGCAAGCAGTTTCACATTATACGACCAAGTGTCAAGCGAGCTTAATTAGTTTAGCATATATACACAAGAGGACTCACTAGAAAAATAAAAACCTACTCTCTAGAATCAACATATATACACAAGAGGACTCACTAGAAAGGAAAAAAGAATTACAAACGAAAAAAAAAATCTTCTAGAATAAATATGTACTCACATATCAGTATTATATAAAGTCATATTGGGATTGACAATAATGTATGTGGAATCGTTTGATTGCTACTATTTATTTTTAAGATTGTTGATAGATCAGTGTGACCAGTCTTAAAAAGATTGCGACCAGTCCAGGTACTAATTCATTTATTTTTTCCGTTATAAATCATTATATAAGATCAGACCTTTCGATGAATTAGATCATTCTTCAGTTACTTTTTTCTAATCCATGACACACATATATAAATTATGACAGGGTAAAATGATGAAAAGTTAGAAAACATAAGAGACGGACAAAACACACAAAAGAAAACATGATCCTGACTCAAAAAGTACATCAAACATCAACAGTAAAAATTCACCATCACCATTTATTATTATTGCCCATTTCTAGTTTTTTTCTTTTTTTTCTTTTTCATCTACTCCAAATTTTTTGGCAAAGAAAACAAATCATTATTGAAAGAAGATATTCAGGGAAATTGAAGAAGGTATTGACTATTGAGTGCCTGACTGACTATTCGACAGCTTCAGTCCTGCTGCTTGTTTGTCACATGCAATTGCTTGTTTCATGATATAGCCACATGCACAGTGACTTTGATCAGTACTCTATGTTCCAAAAGGGTATTTTTAGAGGCACAAAAATCTTCTGAATTTTATTGGTAGACAACCTCTTCGGCTGTGTAATGAAAAAATTGTTCTGAGTCTTTTAAAGATGTTTAGAGATTAGGATGGTTTGAATATGGAAAATATTAATTAAAACTGAATATTTTATTGATTAAAATAACGAAAGAAATTTTAAAAAGTTTAGCTCCTGATTAAGAAAAGAGATGGCGAGAGAAACATTAAACATAGATTCTATAATCATTTTGAGATGAAACTTATTAAAAGAGATGTTGTGTCCATGAAAGATCAAATGATTAAGATAACTCATAGATATGAAAATTTGATCGATTCAACAGTTACTATTCCTATTTGACTAAAACTGTATCTCATGATTCTTTGCTTCTACACGAACAACTTTACACCGAACTATTGTGTCATGAACACATACTCAATCTGATCACTTATTCGATAAACACTAACAAGTAAATTAAAAAGTTCTTGACCTTATCAGCTATTGGATATTAATCTTCTCTATTCTCTAATAACAACTTTGTATGGTTTACACTTTTCTTCTCTTGTGGCTTAGGATGAAATCATCATCATCGTCGTCGTCATCATCAACGACTTTCTTCTTCTTTCTCGCATCTAATCCGTTGTTCTTGGGCGCAGATGTTTTTTGAGAACTCTCCGCTTTACTTGTAAACGTTGGTGCCGGTTTAGTCGGTGTCCCCATTCGAATTTGCTTCATCTTTCTCTGTTTTTTCTCAAACGCTCGCTTCGCCTTATCCGGAGACAACATACCATGTTCCATTAGCCTGTTCCAAACACATTCAATTTTTATGCTATAATGAGCCAAGAATAATGTACTCATCATAAAGACTTTTCAATAGTGTTTTTCTCACCAGAACTCAGCCATTTCACTCCCAGGTATTTGTTTCGATAATGATTCATAGAATATCCTCAAGGGCTCTCTCTGCAAATGCAAAAGACAGAGAAACCAAGAATCAAGAACATGATGATAAAAGAGAGATTTAATAAAACAATCATTAGAGATATCTTATAACCTCTTCAGGAGGATCAAACTTTTGTCCAGGTAATGAATAAACCTTCTTCTCTCTTTTCGCTTTCCCTTTCACCAAGCTCGCTGCTGCAGGTGTTGTTTTCGCTTTCCCTTTCGCCAAGCTCGCCGCTGCAGATGTTGTTGCCGTGGATTTAACTAAATTTACAGGTACTTTGGGCTTTGCCTTCACAAACGTTTTGCAGAAAATATGTTACAAGTTCGTCCTAGAAACCAAAATATCTAAAATCACGTCATAATGCAGAACTTCACGAAATGGTAAAAGGAATCTATCACCAACCCAATTTCAACTTCATCGTCAAATAAAAAGTTCGATCTACAACGAATCCAAGTTAACAACAAAAATAAGTCCTCAGAACTGATCACCAACAATGACCAACCAACAAATAGACGCACTGCTTTAAACCTAGAGATTGGCTTTGTCAAAATCAGGCTTTGAAGAAAATTTCGAAGAACCCAAATCAGAAACGCGCGATCGAAACTTAAAGACTCGGACTTTTCTCGATTTGATACCTCGGATTTCGCCGTGACGGTGGAAACAGAGGATCTGGGTTTGGAATCCGACATGATCGGTCTGTTAGAGGTCACGATCTTCTTTTTGTCCTTAATGGACGGATCGATCTTGACTCTGGAAGAAAGAGAAGAAGACCCATCGCGTGGCTCGCTCTTAGCTGAACTTGGTCTCGCCTGTGTCGCCATCAAAAGCTCAGATTAACCTGAAATTCAGCTCAACTAATTTTTCTCTGCTCGAAGAATCCGACAATGATTCATAAGAGATGCAATCTTCCGATTTAAGTCTTGCCGCTTTCATAGTTATGTAACGAAACGGTAAAAACGAACGATTTGCTGTTACCTTTTAACGGTAATTTAAAATTTACACGACAAATTCATTAATTGGAAAAAAAAAATTTAGGATAATTTTTTTATAATAAATTTTGTTGAATGATGAATCTTCTAAAATAGATAAATATAGAATTGTGTTAATTTAAAAAAAAAAAAACAGATTATTTTCTTAATTTTGAAATACTTTTATTGAATACTAGTTATAGTTTTTAACCTTTGAAAATCTTTCATAAGTAACAATGTATCTCTATTTGTAATCAAGTCCAATTGGCTATTATGTATCAGTAAATATACAATCTTAAGTTGATGTTTAAAGATTAGAAACACACAAAATTATAACTACACCAAATGGTATTAAATTGATGTAACAATACAAACCAGAACACTTTTGCCAAACCAGATTATATCAAATCTGGCTAAAACGTTTGAAAAACCCGGTTATACCAAACCGAGTGAAGAATCATATGAAATACATCATACCGAACCGGTTCACCATCATGCCACATGAAATGTTTTTGAACCTTCATAACCCTCTTTTGCATCTCCACGTATCTCCTCACCGGAATCGATATCAGAATCTTCCTCAGATTCGGAATCTCTTTCTCCGGCACAAACACAGCGAAAGATTCCCAATTCAGAATCTCAAGAAACGGTGGCACAAAATTATCAGAGATAATCACCGGAACGCAACCGTACAAAACCGACTCCACCACTCTAGGGCTATTCACCTCGTAACCTTTCGCGCAAACACAGAATCTGCTGCGTTTCATGTACCGGATGTAGGATTTGTGATCGATCCGGTTAAAGATCTTCATATCTGGCTCAGGTCTCGAAGACCATTGGTTAAGCAAGATGGGTCTAACATAACCGTGTAGGTTCCCGGCGAAAAAAGCGAGGATGGTTCGCTTGGAAGGGCGGTTACCTCCAATATTTCCGTTTGGGTTTTGTGACGAAGAGATTTTTGTTTCCGGCAAAGAGACATCTTTTCCGACCACAAAGTCTACTCCGACATCGGCGTTACAGAGTGATCTGATACAGTTTATGTACGGTCCTCTAGTCTCGGCTGGAGCCTATAACAAGTGTGTGAATTAAAAGCTTTAAAAAAAAAAAAAAAACTACATGATAAATCAGATCAATTAATTAAAATCTCACTGTATGAAACGCCAATTCAAATATATTTTCTTAATTTCTTAAAAAATATTTCCCTTCTTATAATGTGTAGATTTGCTTGTAAAACCAAACGTAAATGCAAACAAAAATCATTGGTTTTAAAGCACATACCCAGTCATGGCAAGCGGTGAAGAAATGATCGGAGCCACGAGTTCTATTCCAGAAAGGGTAGTTGGAAGCAATGAGATCGAGGTAGTTTTTAAGATATTTAACAAGATTTCTACGACTGTGAGAGTCATGAACGTAAAGTTTCTGTTGAAGAATTCTTGTACTGAAAGGCAAGTAGAATAGATGAGCTATGTTGGGATCTTTTGTCAAGAATCTATGGTTACTCTCCATTAGTTTCATAAACCATCCTTCTGACGCGTAAATCCCTTCCATTATTGCCTCCGGCTGATGGAAGATAGGTCTGTCTCCTTCCGAGTAGATGTACACTTTCAGAGTTTGTTCCATTAGCTCATAGCTCCTACAAGAGATAAATCATTTCAAAACCACTTGTTTATCCTTATTTAGTAAAAAACATGCATTATTCGGATTTGAATTTGGCACTGACAAATCGACAACAGTAACACAAAAAGTGATTCTTTCAAATTTAAATGTTGTTTACACTTGCTTTATGCAGTTCCAAATACTTTGTAAGAAAAAAAAAAAAAACACACACAATTTCATACTTGTGAAATTTTCCATGATTATGGTTTCAGTTTACCATAAGCACCAATAAAAAACAGTAAAATATGGTGCCCTCTTTTGAAAACAAAACACTAGCTAGAATTAGAGCTTTGATATCCTCTATCCTTAAATATGTATTAGATTGGTTTATACAAATGTTAGACCTTTTGAAGATGGATAGATTGTGGTAGAGAGGCGCATAAAGATTATCATCCTTCTTGAGCAAACCCACGTTTTTGATCTTGTCTCTTGCAGTTCTAAGCTCTTCGTCCACTTTTAATCCCCAACGAGGTGCCTATGAACATGAAAAAGGTAGAAAATAGGGAATGAACGAGTGTTGAGTAATAATGATAAGGTCCATCAATGCTACTATCGAAAGAGGAAGAGAGGAGAAGTCAACGTGGTCAATGCTGAGATACAGAATTCGTCACAGGTGGCAAGTGGTGACGTGGCAAGTGGCTAAAGGGAAGGAGCGAAGCCTTGGGTCGTATCAGAGGGTTTCAACTTCTCTGAGTCAATAAAAGGAGCCGTTGCTCATCTCTTTCATGGATGTTTTTTTTATGTGTTGTGTGTGTTGCTGAGCCTGCGTGCTAGCTGGGAATCGATCGTCATGAGATCGTTCCTTTAGATTCGTTTTGTAATTCTCTGTTACAGAAACGATCGTTGTTTTTTTTTCTCTGTTCACGATTTGTGATTAGAGTAATAAATTGATTTGGTTGATTCTCAATTTTCTGGGTTGTTGTGTTGAGATAGATCTAAACTCTATCATTGGTGCGGTGAAACTGGTTCGTTACGTGTGTTGATCATGGATCGCGATGGATCTGATGTGTTTGAAGAAGATACGGGTTCTTCTGATGCAATATATGTGCAGATGAGGAATTTGCGTTTGGGTTTTCAGGGTTTGTGTGAAGCGAAGGTGGAGACGGAGTCTAAGCTTGTGTCGTTGGAAGAGTTGCTCAAATCGGTGGTGAAAACGTTGGATCGTTTGGAGATTCACGCTGGAAAAAAAGTTGATAAAGGTGAGCCTTCCCGACAGTCGTTTTCGGGTCAGATTCTTCCCGATCTACACTCGTCAGAAACTCGATCTTCGGGGTTACCTCTGGAAACTCGCGATAAATTGTTAAAAAAAATTAAGATGCCTGTGTTTACTGGATCGCAGCCGTATGCTTGGATTTCACAGGTGGAGCGTTTTTTTCGGGTGGGTCGCTTTAGCGATGCGGCTAAGTTGGATTTGGTTTCCTTAAGTTTGGAAGGGGATGTGTTGAAATGGTTTAACTGGGAGGTTTCGCGTCGTGATTTTGGGTCGTGGGAGGAGTTTAAGAACCGTCTGTTGATTCATTTTGGTGGTACTATTGATGATGAACCGGGGAATAGACTATTTGCCATTAAACAGGTGGGATCAGTGGCTGCATACATCACTGAGTTTCAGGATTTATCTTCTCAGGTGATAGGGTTGGATGATACACACTTGGAGAAAATTTTTTATAATGGTCTTAAGCATGAGATGAAGGAGGTTATCAAAATGAAAGAGCCTAAGGGACTGCCAAATCACATTACCGCTGTGTTGAAAATGGAATCAAGCTCTTTTTGCAAACTGGTTAGTGAAACTGGTGAAGGAACGAAGCAACAAAGTCAGCCTATTCCTCCACCTGCACGGCCAGTGTTCACTTCCCATGCTCCTAAACCAGTAGGGATTCCTCCAAGTCCTTCTATTGGGAAGTCTCCAGAGAGCAGTCCAAAGCCTCTGGGTCGTCCTCGTATTCGTCACAATGATGCAGAACTTGACGCCATGAGGAGTAAAGGAATCTGTTTCAAATGCAAGGGAAAGTACTTCCGTGGCCATGAATGTCCAATGAAAGAGTTGAGAGTTTTAACAGTGGTGAATGGGTATGAACTTGAGGTGTTAGATGAAAATATGATTGAATGTGTGGAAGAAGAGCAACCTTTGGTGGCTGCAGTGAAACCTGAGTTGAGGACCTTATCTTTCAACTCTTATGTAGGGTTGCATTCACCAAAAACAACTAAAATGGTAGGTTTTATGGGCAAGACCAGAGTGATTGTGATGATTGATTGTGGGGCATCGCATAACTTTATCACTCCAGCAGTGGCATTAAAATTAAAACTTACCATTCAACAAGATTCAGGTCTTGAAGTGCTGCTTGGTAATGGTGTCACTGTTCAAGGAACAGGAACCTGTCGTGACGTTCATTTCCGGTTGTCTGGTGTTGAGTTCCTCCAGGATTTCATCACACTGGAGTTGGGGAGTGTTGATGTCATCCTTGGGGTCCAATGGCTGGAAACCCTGGGGAAATGTGTGGTGGATTGGAAGTTACAGGAATGGTCTTTCTTATATGGAGGGCAGCCAGTGCTATTATATGGAGATGCTACCCTTCATGATTCACCATTGTCCTTGAAAACATTGTGTGCACCTCCCTCTGTTGGACGTTCAAGGGCTCAATTAGCTGTGCTGAAGAGTAGTGAGCCTCCAGCTATTGTTCCTCTTGTTCCCTCAGCGGTAGCAGAGTTGTTGCACCGTTATTCTCAGGTTTTTGCACTGCCTTCTGGATTACCTCCTTTCCGAGGCCAGGATCACGCTATCAACCTCTTACCAGGTGTCTCCGCTATCTCTGTAAGGCCATATCGCTATCCACATGCCCGTAAGGAGACTATGGAGAATTTAGTGGCGGAGATGCTGACTTCAGGAATCATTAGACCAAGTACAAGTCCTTTTTCTAGTCCTGTTTTGCTAGTTAAAAAGAAGGACGCTTCCTGGAGGTTTTGTGTTGATTATAGAGCCCTAAATAAGGTGACTATTCCAGACAAATTTCCCATTCCGGTGATTGATCAGTTGCTAGATGAACTACATGGGTCTACCATCTATTCTAAGCTGGATTTACGATCAGGCTACCATCAAATAAGAATGAAACCCGAGGATGTGGCTAAGACTGCATTCCGGACTCTGGAGGGGCACTATGAGTTCCTCGTAATGCCTTTTGGCCTTACTAACGCCCCGGCTACCTTTCAGGCTCTCATGAACAAGATATTCAAACCTTACTTGCGCAAATTTGTGCTTGTATTTTTTGATGATATCTTGGTTTTTAGTGACGATGTTGCTTCTCATGTGGAGCATTTACAGTTGGTGCTGCAGTTGTTGGATGAGCATCAGTTGTTTGCCAACATGAAGAAGTGTTCATTTGGAGTGTCACAGGTTGAATACTTGGGTCATATTATCTCTGCTAAGGGAGTGGCTACAGATGTTACGAAGACTGATGCAATGCGTCTCTGGCCAACTCCTGTTACTGTCAAGCAACTGCGGGGGTTCTTAGGCCTAACTGGTTATTATCGCAGGTTTGTTCAAGGTTATGGCATGGTGGCCAAACCATTGACAGATTTGTTGCGCAAAGATCAGTTTGAATGGTCCAATCAAGCTCAGCAAGCTTTTGACAAACTGAAGATGGCGATGATTTCAGCTCCTGTCCTTGGCTTGCCTGACTTTAGTAAACAATTTGTGGTGGAGACAGACGCGTCCGGAGTGGGAGTAGGCGCAGTGCTGATGCAAGGTCATAGACCTTTGGCCTACTTTAGCCACGGGTTAACACCAAGGGAGCAACTGAAACCGGCGTATGAGAGAGAGTTAATGGCCATAGTGCTGGCAGTTCTTAAGTGGAAGCATTACTTAATTGGCCGTAAGTTTGCAGTTCATACTGATCACCGAAGTTTGAAGTATTTGTTGGAGCAAAAGGAGGTCAGTCTTGAGTATCAACGTTGGTTAACTAAGCTAATGGGGTTTGACATGGAGATTTACTATAAACCGGGTGTGGAAAACAAAGCGGCTGATGGGTTATCAAGAGTTCAACAACCAGGGATCAGTGTGTCATCTGCGGTGTTGTTAGCATTGACAGTACCAGTGTCCCTACAGCTACAGGATGTGTACAAGGAAATTGAGAGGGACTCTCATATTCAAGCTGTCGTACAACAAGTGTTAGTGAAACCAGAAAAACAGGGTCATTATCAGGTTCATGATGCAAAATTATGGTATAAGAAGAGGTTGGTTATTCCAAAGGATTCTCCATTCATCAAGTTACTTTTACAAGAGTTCCATGACAGTAAGTTGGGTGGTCATGGAGGAGTTCTCAAGACAAAGAAAAGAATACAGGAGAGTTTCCATTGGGAAGGCATGCACAAAGATATTCAAAAGTATGTGGCAGAGTGCTCTATATGTCAGACACATAAAACTTCAACTCTTTCTCCTGCGGGTTTGTTGCAGCCTCTACCAATTCCAACACGGATATGGGAAGATTTGTCACTGGATTTCATTGAGGGACTTCCAAAATCGGGTGGCGTGAATGCTATCTTGGTGGTGGTTGATAGATTCAGTAAGTATGCTCATTTCCTTGGTCTGTGTCATCCTTTCACAGCCTTGGATGTAGCTACCAAGTTCTGTTGTGAGATCATTCGGCTTCATGGGGTTCCTAAAACACTGGTTTCAGATCGGGACAGAGTGTTCTTGAGTTCAGTATGGAAGGAGACATTCCGTTTGGCGGGTACACAGCTCAACTTTAGCACCGCATACCATCCACAATCTGATGGCCAAACTGAAGTGTTGAATCGTTGTTTGGAATCTTATCTACGGTGTTTTGCTTCTAGTCATCCGAGAACCTGGTTTAAGTATTTGCCTTGGGCTGAGTTTTCATATAACACGTCCTTTCACACTGCTTTGAAATCAACTCCCTTTCAAGTGGTTTACGGGCGTGAACCTCCGCAGCTCCTACGTTTTGAACCAGGCTCCACCAACAATGTTACCTTGGCAGCTCAGCTACAAGAGCGGGACGAAATGCTGGCCAGAATCAGAGTTAATTTAGCTCGGGCACAACAGTTGATGAAGAAAAGTGCTGATCTGAAGCGCCGGGAGGTGGAATTCGCAGTAGGTGACTGGGTTTTTCTGAAATTACAACCATATCGTCAGCAATCAGTCTCGCGCCGTGTTTGTCAGAAGTTAGCAGCGAAGTTTTTTGGTCCTTTTGAGATTGGGGAACGCATCGGCGCAGTCGCCTATCGTTTGAAACTACCAGTGGAAGCTTCAATCCATCCGGTGTTTCACGTGTCGCAATTGAAGGCAGTTCTGGGTCCACACCATCAAGTGCAAACAGAGTTACCTGTCCTCTCCGACACAGAGGAATCAGTTTTGCTACCGGCGGCGATTTTGGAAGTGCAGAGTAACGCGACGGGTAGCCGTGAATTTCTGATTCAGTGGACGGGTTTTCCGGAGGTTGCGAATTCGTGGATGTCGTCAAAAGATTTTGTGCAGCAGTATCCCGATTTTAAGCTTGAGGACAAGCTTATTTTTCCGGCGGGGTGTATTGATAAGGTCCATCAATGCTACTATCGAAAGAGGAAGAGAGGAGAAGTCAACGTGGTCAATGCTGAGATACAGAATTCGTCACAGGTGGCAAGTGGTGACGTGGCAAGTGGCTAAAGGGAAGGAGCGAAGCCTTGGGTCGTATCAGAGGGTTTCAACTTCTCTGAGTCAATAAAAGGAGCCGTTGCTCATCTCTTTCATGGATGTTTTTTTTATGTGTTGTGTGTGTTGCTGAGCCTGCGTGCTAGCTGGGAATCGATCGTCATGAGATCGTTCCTTTAGATTCGTTTTGTAATTCTCTGTTACAGAAACGATCGTTGTTTTTTTTTCTCTGTTCACGATTTGTGATTAGAGTAATAAATTGATTTGGTTGATTCTCAATTTTCTGGGTTGTTGTGTTGAGATAGATCTAAACTCTATCAAATAAGAAATTGGAACTTAAGGTAAATCATTTCCATACAAGTGAATTTTTTGGATCGTTATGACGCTTCAATATCATTTTGTTCATCTGTGTTATTGATATGACAACTACTGGTGGCTTTTTTGTGCTCCTATGGGGATATTTCTTGTGGATTTGAGGAATCCTGGGTTGAAGAGAATGCAGAGAACTTGCGGTTTCATTGCTTCTTCTACTTTGTCCAGAAGCTTCTATTTTGGGAGAATCATTCAGAAACTTGTGCTCAGAACTCTTCAAAACCTCCGAAGTGATGTTGTTATATGGTTTAAGCTCGGTGGATGCTTCTTGAGATGCAAGAAACGTTTCATTTTCAGTACTTTTGGTTGTATCATTGGATTCTCTGTATTCAGAAACAGTGCCGTTTCCAGGTGAAACAATAGATAGTACTGGAGCGAGCTCGAAATACTGAAGGCCTGAAACGAAGGCAACAACCAGAACCATGAGAAGAACAACTCTACATGTTTCCACTTGGCTTAGAAACCGCAAAACCCGACTTCGATCCATCACAACCTGGAAAAAAATCACTACCTTAGAATTTCAAGTGAAATAAATGGATCTCTTCTTCCTGATAATAAGTTTCAGAAAAACAAGAAATGTTTTGTCTAGTTAGCCCTTTACAATCCAAAGCTAGCTAAATACACCAACTGTGACTGATACATGACTTTAGGCTAAAAGTTTATGTATTAACGAGGATGGTTCCAGAAACATAACTTGATCACTTACAGATACATCAGATAAGAGCTTGAAATGTTTGTTGATATATGGAACTGTCGAATCTGAGCGTTTTTTCGAAGTTTCTTGGATTGATCATCAGGAGAGGAGGATTCAGACAAATAATTAACAAGCAAAGAGACAAGACAAGGCAATCGATGGCTTTAAATTTGGTTCAATCAAAGTCTTGACTAATTATGTATTTTAGTAGAAATTTTGTTTTGGATTGATAGGCCAACAAGGTATGATAATAACTTTTCTCAGATTATCAGAAGACACCCCCTTAATTATCTATGTTTGATCAATTATGACCCATAGTTTATTTTTCAAAAGTAGCCTCTGTTTTGTTTTTTCTACTTTTATTTTTCAACATTTAAACCATAGCTATGATAATATTACCCAGTCTGTTAACAAAGTACTAAAGTGTGTTAGTTGTTGACCACTAGACCTGATTAGTACTGTATATTTCATGAACGTGGTAACTTACACGTACAATCCAAGAAATTGTTTAGAGAGCTCTCAAAACAATGAATGTATAATATACAAATTCGAAGTTTGATGTATATAATTTCAGTGTCAGCGTTTGCGTCCCGCAGTCTCCTCCGCCACATGATCCAAGCATCGGAAGTTGCGAATTTCTGTGTTTCCCTAAGAGAAATTAAATCCTCGGCATCATCGGTTTTTTTTTTTGTTTTGTTAATTTAATATTGTTGTTGTTAAATGTACATCATCTTGTTTACAATTATACTAGTATTAACAATTAAACAATCACATAACACTAAATCCTTTAACTTCCTCAACATGGCCGTTGGCTCGTGCCAACCCCATCCTCCACTTCCTCATCAACGTAAGGAGCTAGATTCAAGTAACAATTACCATGGCAGTTCTCGTAATTACCACCAACATTAGGATTTTTACTAGATCTATTGGCTGGCCACCGTGCACGACATACCACGCAGATGCCCGGCCGCCGTCCACGACTCCTCCTCCACGCCAGCATGCATTCTTCATGAACCTTGTTCTTGCAGACTCTGCACTTCACCACCACGATTTCCTTCTCCTCACCTCCACCATTTTCACCGTTTACGTTTTTTGTGGCGTCAATATCGTCTAGACATATTGGACATGTTGCCGGCTCTTCGTCCGCCTCATTTTCCTATTCAAGATAACAAATGATATATGCATGTAAGATATTGTTATATCTACCTAAAAGTAAAGTAAAACTTGAGTTAAACATGATTATTTTAGGGTAAGCAAAAAAAAGTAACCATATAAATTATATGTAAACGATTTAGATTTCTATATGTTTGTTAAGTGATGTAAAAACAAAAAGAACATATATATTTGTTTAGATATACTATCATGTAAAACGACTTAGCCAAATTTTTTCAACAAATATTGTAGAAGACTACCATTTTACTGGTGGAGGATGCATTAGTAGTATAGCCGGGTTGAGAAGTGGCGGCTGAGAAAAGCTGAAGAAACCGTTGCTGGAGGCGGAAACTGGCGAGGCAGTCAGGCCGTGTCGGGGCAGAGAAGAGACGGAAGAGTAGACATGGCCGGAGTCTCCGTTGCCTGAGACACTTGTCGTCGAGAGGAATTCCAAGAACTCGAATTAAGACAAACAAGATGTGTTTGCACGGCTTCTTACGGTCGGGACAAGTGCAAGTAGGTGTGGCCATTAGCGTCACGGTGTAGACGTTACACGTTGCACCGAGAACGTGAAAAGTTCCGGCATTTGGACGGTGGAGAAGACGGATCCGGTGACGGAGAGCTCGAAGTATCCTATCTGCAACCGGTTGAGCAAAGAAATGCCGTTGGTCACGGTTACTGACGAACGGAGATATTTGATTGGATCCGACAGATTCCATTATTGTTTTTAAGAATTCCGTTACGGCAGTTGAAGATTATGCGAGATATGTATTCATGTTAAGTATATAGGTACAGTTACTTATACATACACGTCATGTATTTATGTGGAGATTCTTTGTATGAAACGTTGGCACACGTGTGGAATAACGGCGACGTGTAGGAGATCACAAAGTCGGCGTTACACGGAAGGTAAAGTTTAATTGATCAAAAAATGAAACTATTTTAGACGTCGTGTGGTGTTTTGGTAGAACTGTAGCACATCCTGCCGTTTCTTTGTCATTGACTTTTGTTTGATAACGTCGTCGTTTTTGGTTAAACCTCGAAAAAACCCCTCTCTCTTTTTTGCTCGTAGTTAACCTAGAAATCAAAATCTCAGCTTCACATTCGTTTCGTTTATCCGACAAAATGGCTTCTCGATGTCGATCTTTGTCAAAACCAGCGTTGTCTGTGTTTAGATCTGCAATGAACAAGCCCTCTCTTCGTCCCAAATCGGCTTCATCATTCCTCGGCGTCCCTCCTTCGCCTGGACTTTCGAGGTAAAGCAAATTTGAGTTGGAATTCGTATTCGTGAGTTCCCGATTGATGTAATTCGTAAAGGGTTTGTTTTTGTTTTGATTTTGACTTTTGATAGGCCAATTGCTCAGCTGGGTTCGCTTCAATCGTTGCTTCCATTGTATAGTGCGGTGGCTTCAGCTAGATTGACTTCATGCCTCGGTATCGATTCACAGAATTCTAGGTCATTAGCTCAGGGTATGCTCTGCAGTGCGAATCCAGGAGTTTGATATTCTTCCAAATGTTTTGTGTTTAGTATATCTGTAAGCAATCTTTTTTTTTTAACTCTTTGATCTTTGCATTGCTTTGAACTTACATGTTGTTTACTCTTGGTATCAAATCAGAGCTTTGATTCTCATATTTAAGAATCTGTAGCAGTGGTATATAGTCTGGAAATTGCTTTGATTGGATAGTTCTGTTAAACTTTGATACCCATCTTTGCAAAATTGAGTATTGACGCTGAATTCAGAGAGTTGTCATAGTCTCATAGATATCTGACTTTTGGTTTGATCTTGCTTTGCCATTCATTTCAAAATTGTGCAATTTCGCTAAGACTATTGCGGTTTTCAGAAATATTGTTTAGTGTACTATTATTAGTGTTTGCAGGGAGATAGATTCTTTGGTCACATATAGGTTCTTGCTTTTGAAAGAATTGTTTTGGCATAAAATTTTTTGTATTGGCTTGAAGATTAAAGATACCATGTTGGTGTTACTCTTTCTTGATCTTTTCTTCTTTAAACTTCTTGTAGTATTGATTGGAAACAACTGAAAGAAGTATGTGTTGATGCCACATGTGCTAATGTATTTTGGTCTCTCATGTTTTTTTTTGCAGAGCTTGGCTTAAGCGTGCCTCGATAACGAGACCAGACTCGAAGAAAATGGATTCGTTTTGAGATCAGATTCTCCGCATTTTAGCTTTGGTGGTCTAATTCAGTCACTCAGATCAGTTTTCTGTTTTCAGGATGATAAAACACCTCTTCTTTCATTACATACAATTAAGCAACACAATTTCTTTTGGAACTTCCATGTTCAACACATGAAAAGATTGAACAATAACAGTCTCTTGTCTATGTCATTGGTGTTCCCAAGTTATGGTTTTTAGTATTCGATTATTGCCTAGCTTTTTTTCTTCCTAATTGTGTTATTCAAATTTTGATTCCTTATTAAAATGAAAAATGCCTATGCAATGTGATTATTGAGCCAAAACAATTAAAATGAAAAATGCCTATGCAATGTGATTATTGAGCCAAAACATGTCCAAAATTCTGTATCAAGTATATAAACGCCTTGCCGTTTCTTAATATGTAAAACGACGTGACGTCTGCTGTGTTTTCAAACAAACTGTTACATCAGAGGCTCAGAGCCTCAGACAATCAGCCAAATTCGCAGCTCTTCAACACGGAGATTCGTCGGAGATAGCAAAAATGGAGAAGAAGCGCGAAGGAGTAATCGAAGGAATGAATCGGATCGTATCAGATCCTTACTATTTCCTCCATTTCATGGCCTTCTTCTCTTACCTTCCGATTCGTAGCTCCGCCGCACCGTACACTTCTCATCGACTCTTCGACAGAGAAATCCAAGCATTTCTAGCGTTTCTTATGTTTTCCGCCATTAAGGTTTGAAATTTTGCTTAAATCTCTTACTTCTTTGCTTCCTGCTTTATCGATTTCGCTTTGTAGATGGTGAGGGAAGAAACATGGGAAGCTTTCGTTGCGGATAGTTTACTCTATGCTAAGGTAACTCTAGCAGATTTCAGATTCCGAATCAAAATTTATTTTTCTGTCACTCTATGCTAAGATACTCATTTTATTTGCCCAGATCTTTCTCATTGCGGTTTCATTGGTTATGGATTATCGAGTGGCGATCTGGTTTAGTGTCATATTTTCAGGTGAGTTCAATTTCTATATGGGAGATGCAGATTTGAATGTTGATTGATCTAAACGCTTCAATCTTTCTAAGTTTTATTTGAATGTTTCCTTTTACAGTTACATATCTATTAGCTCAACAACCAGCATTTAGTAAACTAGGTATGGGAAGATTCTTCAAGTTCTTGCTTTTCTGGAATTCTTGGAATCGAAAGTTGTGTGTTTTTGTAGGAACTGCGAAGAAGCTTACACCTATGCAATTGGAGGATTTGTTATCAGATGGGAGCACAACAAAATACTGGTTGGTACGTGGCAACTTGGCTTTATCTTTTACTTGATAATGTTGTTGACCTTTCCAAATTAGTGAGGTTGTGATTTTTGATGATACATTTTAATATTTGATAAACCAAGGAGTAGTTTTTGGGTAATGAAATGATTTTATTGCATAGCTTTTCCACTCAGATTCCGGTAAGGCATTATGTCTATGAAGCTAGATTCATTCCCCTTACTATTGTGACATCAATTTTTTTTTTTTTTTTTTGGTTCGGTGTTAAACCAATTAAGAAACAGAACTGATATGCAACAAGCAACATCTTAATTAGTGAAACAATATATTTAACTGAAAATTGGCTCCAAAGGGTACTGTTGTAGCTATTTTTATGATGATGTGCTTTCACACCTTTTGCAGATAGAATTCTTTGCATGTAGTTCATCCAAGTGTGTTCGTTCTAGCCGTTGCTTTCCTGAGCTCTCCATCACGTAAGCTTTGTGTAAAGAAAAGACCCCAGTTTAACTGTTTGTCTAAAGATACACGCTCACCTCATCTTCCATTTCTTCAGGTACTCGAACAATCTTTTGTCTTTTGGAACTGTCGATCTTGGACTTTTCCCTAATACTGCGGCAAAGTTTGGAATATCTCTTGCGGGTAACAGTCCTTCACGAACTCATTTATTTGCAGTTTTTCTCAAACTCAAAAACACAATTAGCCTCTGGGGTGAAAGCAACTGATGTAGTGTATTCGTATATAGGTGGAATGTCTCAGCTTCCCACATACATATTGTTTGAAAAGGGTGTCGAAGTTTCTCGGTTCCCAGACTTTTATGTTGACGCTGCACCTTCTTTACCCATAACCAAGGTTTACATGCTTCTACATGACTAGCTAAAAAGCAGGTTTTTCAATGGCTGCATAGAGGTTTTGATGAAATCCCTAATTGTTGATGTTGCAGAAACTATTGTGTCAACATTTTGAGCTTGATCGGCTTCTGCTCGACTATATAAACGGATCATAGCTGGAGAAAACGAGTTAACTGATATACGACTATCTGGCTTCTCCTGCAAGAGCAGTATGAAGTTATGAACACAACACATCAACGCACCATCGGACTATCACATTCGTATGTTTATTATTCTCTTATAGTGGGCATTTTTGGTGAGTCTCGCCAGAGAAAAAGGACAGATTATATTTTAGTGCTATAGAGAGAGAAGATTCTGTTGAAATTTTATGGGGCTTGAATTTCGACAAAGAATTCTTGAATAGGATGGTAATGAAATCTCAATTTCTGACTTTTAAATTTAATGCCTTTCGTTTTCATAGACTTTTAAGACTTGTCGGAACTCCTACGTCTCTTATGTACTTCCTATGTCCATGTGTGGACTAAAATTAACATCAAATTCGAACACAAAAAAAGTCACAATAATACTCTACACATGGATACGAATTCATATGATATGAATTAATGATGGATCGTGCGGCGACTACGTTCCCAAATATCGTGTGTATCATATCTTTTACAGTTTTACCTGCCATTTAATTTCCGCAAACAGTCCAAAATTAATATGTAGTGAAAGCAACAACTAATAAGTACTAGTATGTGATAAAAGCATCGTTTTCTATAAAAGACGTGTGATTAAGAGTTAATGAACAAGAAAATCATACACTTGGTAAAGGTGATGCCACTAGGCAGAGCCTGGTCAACATGTTCCAAAATCCCAATTAAGTCATTAATTAATGATTGATTAATCCCTTGGCTCGGCTTGTTTCTACACTTTCGTCTCTATCGTTTTATTTTGTTTACATATAGTATAAGTATAATAAATACACGATCATATGAAGATTCGTATAATAAAATATAAGAATGTGTCTAAATCTAACTAATCATATTAGGCATACAAATTTATGTAACGAAATAAAATGGTATAATATTTAATTTTTAATATAACCAAAAAATAAAAAATAATTCAGTTTCTCAAAACGCGGTTTTTGAGCCGAGTCGCGAGTAAATTAATTAAAATCATTAATGTCGTAAGTAACGGACCATATCTCCAACTCATCAACGGTTCCCGACCGAACTCTCGCAGAAACACCGTATCTGCACCGTCCAAATTTATGACTTGACCGCTCAACAACATTACTACATGATCTCGTTAGTTCAACAACCAATGAAATATAGCCACGTAGTCACTCACACGATCCTCCGTCACTGCATCAGATTAATGAAAACTTCTTTTTTTTTTTTGTCGTCTTTTAACTCATTGAAGTATTCACCCCTATAAATGGAGTCCCACCATTTCCCCCAATTTTTCTGACATTTTCTCTGTTACACGTTTTCTTCTTCAATTTTTATTTTTACGATTTGTGTTTTTGATTTTTCCGGCGATGGCGTCAACTCCGGCGGATATGGAACAATTGACATCAGGCGCGAGCAATCGGATAATATTTATCTTGAGAACGCTAAGGAAGTGTCTTGTCTTCGTTCTCTCTCTCGTCCTTTCTCTTCTCCTTATTCTTCGTCTCCGTCCTCGTCGCCGTGTCTCGCCTCTTTCATCGCCGGAGGAGGAGGCTGTTCCGGCTCCTTCGAGGCGATGGAGGCGGAAGATGGCGTGGAAGCTGGAGGAGGAAGATACGGCTAGACGTCGTTCGTTAGCAGAAGGCGTTGAGATGGCCGGAGATGGAGAGATCTCTTGTTCGTTGTTTTATGGCCGTCGTGGTAACGCTTTATTCTCTCGGTCGTGGTTGCCTATTTCCGGCGAACTTAGGTAAGCCTTTCGATTTTTGCATGCACAAATTAGAATTCTCCGATTAAGTTGTTTATCTATCAATTTTGAATTTGTCTGTCTCTTCAGGGGGATTTTGATTATTATCCATGGATTGAATGAACACAGGTGAAAAAAATCAATCTTTTTCTTTTTTTTTTTGGTCTCTGTATTTCGATGAATCCCTAAATGAATCTGTGAATTGTTATTAATTTGCAGTGGAAGATATTCTCAATTCGCCAAGCAGTTGAACTCTAGTAATTTAGGTGTATACGCAATGGACTGGATTGGTATGAAGACAAGCTTGTTTTGTTTTCTTTTCGTTTTCATATTTGTTCTGAAACTGTGGGTCTGAACAGGTGGCAATATGTTTGGTCCATAACTGTAATTAGGTCACGGTGGGAGTGATGGTTTGCATGGTTATGTTCCTTCTCTTGATTATGTTGTTTCCGACACTGTAAGTTCACAATCTTATAAACATTACTTTTTGGAGATGAAACTAGAGAAATGTTCCATTTGAAGTTGCTGATCTCTGGTGATTTGGTGTCTTGATTTGAAATCTATAGGAAGCTTTCTTGGAAAAGATTAGGTCTGAGAATCCGGGGGTTCCGTGTTTCCTCTTTGGTCATTCTACCGGTGGAGCTGTGGTTTTGAAGGTACCTTTGAAGCTCTCTTCAGGATTTCATTGTTTAGAGTGTCCTGATTTATGGTATACTTTGTATTATATAGGCAGCTTCATCTCCCTCTATCGAAGATATGTTAGCCGGTATTGTCCTAACATCGCCTGCACTTCGTGTCAAACCCGCTCATCCCATTGTTGGGGTAAGTCGTCGTCTTCTTTGCAGTATTTAAGTTAGATGGTTTTCTCATTCTCGGCTGGAGAATTTAGTAGGTTATCCATTAACTTATATGTTTCATTGTAGGCAATAGCTCCAATCTTCTCATTGGTCGCACCAAGGTTCCAATTCAAAGGAGCAAACAAGAGAGGCATTCCGGTCTCAAGAGACCCTGAAGCTCTCTTAGCCAAATACTCTGATCCGTTAGTCTACACTGGTCCAATTAGGGTCCGAACAGGGCATGAGATTCTTCGCATAACAGCTTACTTGACCCGGAACTTCAAATCTGTTACAGTGCCTTTCTTTGTTCTCCATGGTACAGAGGACAAAGTCACTGATCCACTAGCTTCACAAGACTTGTATAATCAGGCTGCATCAGTTTTCAAAGACATCAAACTCTATGACGGTTTCTTACACGATCTTCTCTTTGAACCTGAGCGTGAGGAAGTCGGTCGTGATATCATTGATTGGATGATGAAGCGGCTTGACGATGTTAACGGATCAGCAGCTGGGATCTGGTAAAAGATCAAAGGAGACATCAGAGGTCTTCATCTTCTATAGATAGTTGTGATACAAATGGTGTGATTGTAAAATCAGAAACCAAGTGTAGGAGATACATATAAAATGGGTTTAATCTATGAATTGTTTGATTTTTGATATTCGCTGTGACGATCTTTTGGGCCTATTTTGAAGGGCATTGTTGCCCATTGAGCCTATATGGCTATTATATGTAAATATATTTATTTTTTATTTTTTGGGCAATGTAATATGTATATTTATCAATGTAAATTTGGGTGGATTTTTTCATTTTTCAAATTTAAACTCAACTAGTCGTCAATACAGTTAATTGCTGCAGTTTAGAGCTCAAATAGGAAGTAGAAGGGCAAAAATACCATAAGAAGAAGATTCAAAATCCTGCAATCTCTTGTTTGTGCCCAGAGATCCGTCAAGAAGCCCATCGAAATCCCCATCACGCCAACCGAACCTGGGTCCGCTTGGAATCAGAGGGATACGATCCATATGAGACGATGATCCACAAAATGGGCCTCGAAAATTTGAGGTCCAATACAAATGTTTCACTAAACTGTGTGAAGGGTCGAGCCTGCTAAGAAGGATAGTCACTCTGTTTCAGGTAGTTTGAAACAGAGGACAAAGAAAAACAGTAGAAAAAGAAGGGAAGAAAAAAAAAGGAAAGGCAAACAATGCATAGCTACGACTACGAGCTTACGATTCAGAGTTCCGCTAACTCGAGTACCCATTCTTGAATTGGTACAACCTTCGTCCCCAGAAATGCTGCTTGCACCAACACACTCCAGCCATGATTAAAACAGTTACGACGATACCTAGAAGAACCAATACAAGAATCAAAAAATTAATGTTGAACTTAGAAATCTCAGGAATCAAATTAAATATATATATATATATATATATATATATATATATATATATATATATATATTAGGATACATTTCTTGGCCTGAGCTCCTCTCTTGGACAAGACAGTCTTCTGCTGCTGCCCCTTCTTTGCTACACAAGGTTGCGACTCAAGCTATTATCTACAATGTTTGGCGTCAACGGAACAATGTGCTCTTCAATGACAAGCGGCTTCCTCCTACCATTATCTTCAAGATGCTTGACCGGGAACTGCGCAACATCATCACTTCAAGACGGCGAAAGAAGCGATGGCGAGACCTAATGCTTCTTTGGTTCCGATAGTTTTTCAAATTTTTCCTAATCTATTGTAGCCTTGTTTTATTTTTTTGCCTCGGCTACTCTTCTTTTAGGTAATACTCTTTTGTAATGCCTCTTCTTCATTTATATGATATTTACAATCTTAGCAAAAAAAAAAAAAAAAAAAAAAAAGAGACTTCCATACTTTAGAAATTAGATGATAATCTTTTCAAAAATGGACTTTGATGATATTATAGTTCCAGCTTGATACAATTATTTTATTTTAATTTATTTATATTAAAGCTAACAAGGAAAGTAAAGAAAATTAAAAATCACCAAAAAAAAGTAAAGAAAATTAAATGGAGAACAAAAGCTACAAATTGAACATAAAATTAAAAAAAATCAATTAAAAGTGTCATAAAATGGACTTGAACTCATGACAGAGGGTCAATAATGAACACTTCATCTTCACTTTTATACATAAACTCCTATTTATCTTCAATAAATTTAACATTTCATTAAAAAACAAATATAATGAACACTTTAACCATCTTAGCTGAGGTCAACTTAGCCAATGGTCTTACAAATTTGGTTTTTTAATATTTAACCTGGGTCAGATTGAACGATAATTATTTATAATTAATTGAACAATAATTATTTTAAAAGAGTTACAATTATTTAGTAGGATAAAGAAAGTACGACGACGGAGATGGTGCATGACTGAGTCAATATGCTTCTCCGTCGGCGGCGGTGTGGTGTCTTCTCATCGATGTAGTTGTGGCTTTGGATTGGCGGTGGAGGAGCTTTGCTGCGGTGGGTCACGGTTGAGGACGCTGTGATTTCTTTGAAGATCCTCAAGCTCAGCCGTCGCTCCGTTCGCTACGACCACGGCGGAAGTTGATGAGGTTTGGTGGGTTGCGTTGTTTGGCGAGGTGGTTAGCGGTAGTTCCGGTGGCTCAAAGCTTAGATGGCTGGTGCGGGTTTTGGGTTCAGAGGCTTGGTTTGAGCCACCGCCTTATGGATCTGCCGCTTTTGGTATCCACTAGCTCGGATCGAAACATATTGGTTCAGATAAATCGGAAAAGTTCGGATCAAGAAGTTTGGGGTTAATTCCAGGTACGTCGGATTGCTTGGTTGGGATTCATCGTCGTAGAACCGGTTGTCGGAGGTGCTAACTTTCTGGAAGATCTGTGGCGGGATTGGTGCGTCGGAGGAAGAGAGTGCGATCGGGATCCGAAAACTTTCGTCTTTGTTCTACCTCCTTCGAGGCGGCTGCGAAGCTGTGGTTCTTGTTTTTGCTGGATCTAATATTTTGGTGTCTCTGCAGCCGATGATCAACAGGTTTCGAGCCATTTTGATTTTTTCGGCGAGTTTACCGATTTGTCTTTTTTGTAATTGTTTATCATTTTTGTGTAGGCCTTGGCCCAAACCCATTTGGATTGTTGGGTATTATTAATAATATATATATATATATATATTGTGAATTTGTGATTCTTAGTGCCATTTTAAACCATCCAGATTCTATATCGTAGAATTTCGTAGTTGGAGGATGTAAAACACATTAAATTAAACGGTGCAGTATAATATAGATAAAAAAGATTTGGACGCGTTATTTAGTAGAAAGGGATGGAAAATTGAAATGACATAACAAATAATATATTCGATTCTATTTTATTGAGTAATTATATTTTAAAAGCAATACCAAAGTAAATTAAGTTTTATTTCGATGAACTTAGCACCCCATTTAATTGAGAACCAACAACAGAAAAGTTAATAAAAACATAATTTGTCGCTTAAATCACCAATTATAAGAAAATGATCGATTTTTATGCTCTAGTGCAACAACATTTTCCAGATCTTTCATTAGGAACACAACCTCCATAATGGTATCCTCTCTCTATACAGTCACTGATGCATTCATGATCTTCATAGTATCCTATAGCACACTTGCCAAAACATTTCGGTGGTCCTACACATACAACAAAAAACGTCACATAACAAAAGGATATGTTTAGCATTTTGGTAGCTCTACACACTTTTTAAAAAAATTCTTAAAACATGTATATATAAAATATGATACCCACACATATTTTATATATAGGCTATTCTCGATTCTATATTTTGAAAAAAGTAAAATATTCACTATTGGTCTTAAAATTATCAAAAATAGTTACGTAATAATAAGATAGAAGAAAACTTTATTTGTAAAAAACATCATACCAGTAGCGGCTAAAACATTGTAGTTGGATAACGAAATTGTCAATATTATTACAAGAAAAAAAGTGATTGGGTTTTTTGTGATACCCATTATATATGAATATTTGTAGTTCTATTTCTATTAAGAAGAATAGACGTCCTATATAGCTTTAGTTCTTCACAAAAAGCTATTTTTATATGAATCTGTGTTGAGAAAAAAACTAAATTTAATACCCCAATCTGTTTCTTTGACCATAATGATTATTTCATATTGAATTAATTATAGATTTTGCCCTTTTTTATAGTGGCATTTGTGGATTTTGCCATTTTTGAATAGTTTATAGATTTTGCCATTTTTCAGGTTCCAAAAATATGATTAAACATGCGTTTCACTCGTTATGTTTGGGTTTAGTCGGTTCCATTTGTTCTTAGGGTTTAGTATTTGGTATAAAGTACGTATTTTTGCAAAAAAAATCACAAAATACGTATATTTTTAAGTGTTAAAAAATGGCAAAATCCGTAAACTATTCAAAAAATGGCATTTTCGTAAGTTTTTCCTAAAAAATGGCATTTTTGACAATAATCCCTTTCATATTTGCTATCAATAACCTTTTGGAAAAAATCTAGATATGAAAATGATTCTTTACCATTTTTGATGCGAATTCATGGAATTATATTATATGCAGTCAAAAATATTGTTATAGAAAAATATCCCTGGTCTCAATATTCTGTAATTTTTGGTAATCATTTAAAGCTGAATGATTCTTTTGAGAAAAATCACAATTTAATACCACAATCTTTTTGTTTTATTTTGACCATAGAGGTTCTTCCATATTTGCTATATATATATATATATAGATATACTAGATTTTAATCCGCAGTACACCGCGGGATGATTTAATTTTAAAGTTAGTATAAAAATATTTTATAAATTGTATCTCCTTATAACATATTTATTTATATTATAGTTTACAATTGTTATTAAGTAACGGTATACCACGAGTCCACGAGATAATTATTAATAAACTGAGAATTTAACCCGTATTAAAGCGGTATATAAATATTGATCCAAATTCGTCCGCCATATAAATCATTTCCGAAATATAGCCCGTTCCGTAATTTCTTAACCCGTCCTGTGATTTGTATTAAAAAAAAAAGGATTATATCCGTATTGAAGCGGCGGATTAATGATATTTTAATCTTTTTATTATTGTTGATTCAAAAACCCGTCCCGCCAAACCCATCCCGCCAAAAAACTCATTTATTTTATTAATGTTCTTATTTATGATATGATTCTGAATCATTGTCTAAATATTTTAATCGATGTAGAACGTTGAACACACATTTTCGTCAATTGGATAATATATGTCCGTTTTTAAAATTTCGAATCACAGTATATGCAGAAAAAAAAATTGTTTTTTTTTTTACTTTATGTATTATATGATGATTCAAAACAGTTAAAAACAAATCAAACAAAGATGATAGGAGAATCATAATTATAAATCTTAATCAAATCTTCTAAAAATCTAAATTATTAAAGAGAAATTGTTAAAAATGCCCCTTTTTCAATACCCCTTTTCAAAAATGCCCCCTTTGAGAGTCCATTTTTAAGTTTGCCCTCTTTTAATTTTTAATGACCATTTTACCCTTATTTGAAACAAAATTAGGTCCACAAAACACTTGTAAAAAACCTTTAAAATACCTTGTAAAATTTTTCCGGTAAAATTTTTTCCCGCCAAAAATTTTTTTTTGCGGGAAAAGTGATTCCGCAATTTTTTTGGCGAAATTTTTTTGGCGAGAAAATTTTTGGCAGGAAAAATTTATTTTAAAGGTTTTACGAAGTATTTACAAGTATTTTGTAAGGTTTTACAATGTATTTTAAAAGGTTTTACAAGGTACTTATAAAACTTGTAAAACCTTATAACTTGTAAAACCTTATAAAATAGCTTGTAAAATCTTATAAAATCTTATAATATCTTATAAATACCTTATAAATACGTTGTAAAACCTTTTAAAATACATTGTAAAACCTTATAAATACCCTGTAAAAAACCTTTAAAATACCTTGTAAATTTTTCCCGCCAAAAAAATTGCGGAATCACTTTTCCCGCAAAAAAAATTTTTAGGCGGGAAAATTTTTTGGCGGGAAAAAAGTTTACGGGAAAATTTTACAAGGTATTTTAAAGGTTTTACAAGTTTTTACAAGTGTTTTGGCGGGAAAAATTGAGGGATCACTTTTCCCGCCAAAAAATATTTTGTATTTTGTGGACCTAATTTTGTTATTTTTTCTTATATATTTGCGATATCTTTTATTAAAAGAAGGGTAATTTAGTCATTTTGTACATAAAAGGGGTATTTTAAAAAATAGACAGCCAAAGGGGGCATTTTCGAAAAGGGGTATTGAAAAAGGAGCATTTTTGTGAGTCTCCCATTATTAAATATAGAATATCCGATGTATGAGTTGGGTTAAATATAACCCGACCCAACAAATTTTTTGTGAAGAAATTTTTAAAATGGGTCGGATATCCGATATACCCGAAAGCTTTTTTACCCACCCGTCACAAAAAGTGCTGCGATTATACTAGTATAGACTAGGATCGGACCCGCGGTCCACCGCGGGAGAATATTGGTTTACATACTTTTCGTTTAATATTGTGTGTGTTTTTTAGTAGAACGAATCGTGTAGTATACTTATAAATATTCATAATAACGAATTGTAATGAAAATGTAAAATTGTTTATAAATATACCCATCATATTAATTATGATTTACAAAATAGAATTTTGTGTTTTAAAATTCTAAAATTAGACGATTCATGGGAATTAGAGCAGTCAAAATAGGTCAAAAACCGCGGGTCGAGCCCACATCATCTCACTATGGGGCAGATTTAGGAAAATATATTAAACCCGCAAATAAGTGGACCACATGGATTAATTCGCAGTGGGTCATTAGTTTAATCGGTTTTCATCCGCGGGTTGGCGGATCAGCCCGCATATTAGTATTTATTGATAAAATTATAATTTATTCAACATGTGGTAATTTAAACAAACTTTTAATAGTATTTTTATTTCTATATTTATTTTAGTAGTATTTTAAATTTTGGTTACTTTAAAATTATTTAAACAAAATCCATGGACAATCCCGCAAATCCGCATACATTCGTGGGACGGGTTTGTATTTCATATATGCTACCCGCGGGTTGTGCGGACCGACTAACACAAGTGAAAATATTTTTTGTCTATCGCAAAACGGACTCAACGGAACGAATCAACTCGCTTTGACAGTTCTAATGGGAATATTATTTAGTCATACAACAAAATGAAGTTTGGACATAAGAATAATAGAATATGTATCTTATTTGTTAGATGAGAGATTGAAAGATGAAATATAATGATTAAAAATTAGTTATTATTTTTCATGATTCACAAAATTTAATAAATACTTATCATCTTGTTGAATAATTCTAAAATCATATTCAATAAATCTTTATAAATTAAAAATTAAACTTCTTTGGTAAGCTATAGGTATGAAAATATCATAATTTTGATTTAATCTAATTAAATTTAGATTAAATTAAAATTAGTTACATGGATTTCATATCTATTTAATTTACACGACCAAAATAAAAATATCTATTTAATTTACACGACCAAAATAAAAATATCAATTTAATTTATAAAACAGATGTGTTATTTGTGATAAATTTTCTAGAAATCTTTAGAAGCAAATAAAATATCTTTCAATTAATGATAATTGGCTAAAATGAGCGAAATTCATGACAAAAACATTGATTGTTATGGAATTAGTCCCAAAAATATATGAACAAATTTACTATACGTAATTAATGTATAATATTGTTCGGAATATGCTTTTATTATTAGTTACCATAAGTACAATAAGATTTTATTTTATTTCCATAAATATTTGATTTTATTTCGATTTTTCATTATTTATTCGAATTTATATTCCAAAAAAATTTCAAAGATCCGATTTCAGAATTTCGGGTCAATTTTCTGATTTTAACCCGACCCATTTTCATTTATATTTCTCTTTTTATAGTATAGATATATATATATATATATACGACGATATTATGTTATAGCAAGCCTTTTGACTTTATAGAAGTGAGAAGCGAGAATTAAGGGGTCAAAAAATGAAACATAGAAAGTAAAACTTTGAAAAATATAAGAGTTGGTGAAAAAATGAACATGTTGGAGTCGATAATACCTCTTCTATGTTCTAGAAAACATGAGCTTTTAGCAACTATAAACGCGTCTTGGTCCATATTAGCTTACTTTTGTATGAACACAAGAAACATATTGGAATGACTGCAAAAAACAAATATTGGTCAATTGAAAAGTAAGTGGAGACAATAAAAGGCGAGCAGGGAAACCTCAATGCTTTCTTATTTTAAAATTATTGAACACTGCAAAAAAAAAAAATGCTTATTTCAAATCGGACATTTGTGCTTACGAGTTATGAATATTTAATTAATTCATGCAATGCACTAATAGCAATCCTTATCCATGATCGTTAAATTATATTATTACTAATGGACTTTAAGCTTTCCTTACACTAATAATGACAGTTCGGTACCTATTTGAGGTGGGTTTTTTCTCTGTAATAGTTTATTTGGAAATTTTACTTTTCTTAAAATTATTATTTAAAAAATTCTTGTTGACATATATATATATATATATATACTAGGAGCGGTCCCCGCGCCCGGCGCGGGGTTGTAGGGATTTTAATACCATTATTAGTAATGAACAATTAATAGTGTTTAATCATAATATATATAATAGAAACATAAATGAGAAAAATGATATATTTAAACAATAGATATATTATTAAAATAATGATAGTTGCATAAAAAAATGCAATAAAAAACTGGATTTTGGTTGATGTTGTGTGTCATGATTTTTTCTCCACATTGCCTTAGTTTGGTTCAAAGGTGATGTGTTCAAGCATGTTTTTAATATGTGGGTTAGTCACTTAAAAAATAGACCACTCGTTAAAAACTGGTTTCGTGGGGATAAATTCAATCTGATGAATGTTGTCTATGCACTTTTGCAATGGAGTCTCGAAATCATCTCATGTTCCTCTGTGAGCGCTTCCGAGGTGTGAAATTTGTTTTTTTCTAGGCTTTATTCTCGACAAAAGTTGTTTTGCTCTTGGGCTAAGCTATTTTCTTGGACCTGACGCTCTTCCTCTCTTGAGACACTTAAATAATTGTCCATTCATCAAAGACAGGCTTCTTGGGAATAAATTCAATCTGATGAGTGTTTTCTTTGCATTTTTGCAACGGAGTCTCGGGATCACCTCCTGCTCCTCTGTAAGCTCTCCCCATGTGTGGAATTTGGTTTTATCTATGCTTTATCTATGAAAAATATTAGTTTAAAGAATATAAACTGTTATAATTGAATTTTGAAATTCTTTCAGGAAGCAGGATAATAAACCAGACGTGTTCTTTTGTTTCGAGGTAGTTTTGTCATTAATCATTAAAAATTAATTCGTCTTCTATAAATTTTGGCTTATCGTTAGAAAAATGTAATGGTCATATCATCGTCTGTGTGATTTGATTCGCAAAATTAGAGTATTCTCAAGGTGTTGACCTACATATATTAATATGTAATTGTGTATATGTTGTGTAATTTTCAAATGTTTGTTTTAAATATGTTATTTTGGTTTGATTAGGTGTCTTAAGGAGAACTACTGCACGTATATGCAATCAGGTTCTGTTCAACCCTACATGTCTAGAGTTTTGGAGGATGTGGTATTTTTTTGCTGGCAAGGATCACACATTTTGCACTTGAGATTCCGAGACTCCGTTGCAAAAGTGCAAAATGTGCTTAATAACTATAAATTTTTGTGATCCTTAACACAAAACGACTCCGCATTCCTGCAACTTTCAGCACACATACGGTTTACTTTTCATTATAATACTAAAAACAAACAATATGTATTAAAAATATATGTTGTTAAGTTTTTCAAACAATAAGCTGAAAACGAATTAGGGTGTATTTTGAATGCTTTTCAAAATAGTAAAAGTCAAAATATCATTATAATTTTAAAAAGTGCACTTTCAAATATGAAAAAATGAATAACATTTTTTCAAATTCAAAGAAACACTCTTATTCTTTCATTTTGAATTTGGAAATAGAGAGAATGTTACGTCAAAAATGTAAACTAATTCAAGAACCATAAAACAATCCGACCTTATTGTTCACAATAATGATTAGTGAGCTAAACTAATAATCAAACCTGTACTTTAATGGATCAAACAATAATCCACAAACAAAAACCTAATCATTACGTTGCAACAAAGGTCCATAATATATAAACTGGATATTAAAATAAATATGTAAAAATAAACTTGTCAGCACCAGACGCCTTCAGTCATTTGTTTCTTGATAATCAAGGAATCAAAATAATAATCTATGACTGAATTGAACTGAAAGAACATATTTCGTATGAATTTGGATATTCTATAGTATAAGTTAATAGAAATTTCACCTTTAGATATATAAATTTAGTTGGTGTCGATTAGTCGGTTGGTACTTGCTTTCCCATTCGTATTACACGGGTAGATAAAAATCGTTGACAAATAATACACAACGAAACGTGCTCGTCTCTTTACAGTACACCAACGTGCTCCACCTACACCATCGTGAAAGCTATGTTCTGGTTCGCCGATATCAACTCTTAACATATCAAGTCATCACTGTCTCCTCCAGGAACAAACCAAGTTCTCCACCTTTACACAAACCATTTTTTCTATGGGAGATGGACACTTTGACACACTTTTGCCAACATTTCTTAAAATTGTTTTTATAAGAAGTCCAATATTACCCACCACTCTCTATCTCAATGACGGTTAAGAACATCCGCTTTGAAACATGCTTCTCGTCTTCCTTCACCAAACCATCTCACGATCGCTCTCTTCTTCATCTTGAAGCCCAAGCCAATATCTCAATGTCTCAAACTTCTTATGTTAACCATCTTCATTACCTTACCTTCCTCCTGATTCAAGCACTTCTTGCAGTCCTGTCTCACTGCCACATCTTCCGCTAGTTGGTACAGTACCAAACAATTACTGTTCTATCTTAGCCATGCATTTCTCGAAGAGCTTCAATGTTCTCCAAGTGTAGTTCATGATCTTCTTTCTTTTTTTTTTAATCATGCACATATGAATGTTAGTTCTTAGTCAATATACCATCAACAATCACAACCAAAAACAAAGGAAATCCAGATATCAGATATGTCGAAAGTAAATCCAAGTATATGAGTAAATTCCATCTAAAGAAGGAAATAGAAACATACCTTTAAATCTCTCTCGGGTCCAGCTAAGAAACTTGATTTATTCAAGTTTGTCGCAGACAAGAGTATTTACAACAGCAAAGAGGCCGCCTTCTCCAATCCAGGATCCAACCTGGAGTAGTTAAAGACCAAAATATATATTTTAGAAACATGCTCACGTAACCTATTTTGCCGCTAAAGTTGCGATCAGTTTCCTCCGCTTCAAATTCTGCCCAAATTTGCAAAAACGAAGGCCAATTTCAAATTAACTATATTAAACATAGAAAACCAAAAAAAAAAGAGCCTAGACATGAACCAACAATAAAATGATAAAAACCGAGACCAAAGAGATATTAAGCAAAACGGGAATAATGGAATAACTTAATGAGATAGGAGTAATAGAATCTCCTCATCCTCCTCCTTCTCCCTGTATATGATGGTGATACTTGCAAGAAGAACCAAATTTACATGTTCCTGGTCCATAAAATGCTATCTCAAAGAAAGTAATCAAAGTGAGAATTTTATACACTAATTATAGTATTGTTGATGAAAGTTAAAACCAAAGTGCATCAATGAGTACCTGACACACGTGCTGTACCATTATCTATAGAAACTCTGCAGCTTATATTATGAGAATTGACATACAAGACCTAAAAAGTGAAACTAAAAACATCAATGAGAGCTTCCAAACAAAAACTATTTGAAGTTTTACGATACAATGTTAACGGACTATTTTACTTGTGCTGAATCAAAACTCACCTACCTGCAAAATTTCTACGGTTGGCTGGTTGGTATGTGATATAGAAGAAATACCGAAATTATTTTCTTTCACTCTAGGGAGAACTGGCTCAGCTACTTCCATGGAATAGAAAGAACATTTGGTGAGATGTGATAAATTCCCCATGGTAAAGCTCATCTAACCAACTGTTGTTGATGGGTTGAGGAACTTCAGTGCTTAAAGAGATAAGTTCCATTATGAGCAATCCCTGTTAATTTTCAGAAAATGATCAAAAGTTGATCTAGAGTCCAAGATATATGCAGGACTTAGGAATAGACAGTACCTTTATCATTACTTCGCGTATGAACATCTCCACAAACTCCTCAGCCATCTTCTTTGTGATCATATCAATATGGCAAGTACCAAACCTTAGAGACCACACATGAGAATCAACTATTGAACTTTTGTTTTTGGGTCTTACCAAATGTAGAGACATTCCAAAAATTAAATACAGGGATGCCACCACAAACTCCAGCATCACTTGAATCTTCCTTAGAGCAAGAGAACTATACAAGTGACTCGGTACCTAGCTTGGTATAACATCTCAGAGATCTGCTTGCATTTACCATCTCAACAACAACGGCTACCTGCATTTTTCTAAAGTTTTCTTTATAGATTCCAAATTACAAGAGAATAAATTTCCCAAATTTACAAGATTTAGCATTGTCACACTCACCATTTCCTTGTACGACGATAAAAGCTTGATTCGATAAGCACTCTGAACATAGAAAGACTTAGTTTGTGAGTTAAAACGAAAGAGATTGAACGCATGAGAATGAAACGAAAGACGAAGAGAGTATTGAAATGCAACTTTTCACCTGTTGCTTAGACAGCTTCTTCAAAGCGTTCTTCTTGATATCAAACATGTTACTCGACACACCAAGCTCCATCATTGGCATATACCTATTGCCATGGAAAAACATAATATTAAGAATCAATCTTCTTACTCAAACACTCCTCAAATCACCAAAGTGAAACCAATTCCAAAACGATTGCTTTTTAGACGTTCTAAAGCAGAGAAAAAAAAAACATCAGTGAGAGCTTCCGAACAAATGAAATCATAGATTCTGTTTCAGCGATATCTAATAAACTACTTTTCACCTATTAACAAAAATACTCCATCAAAATAAAATAAAAACACATAGGAAGAAGAAAAAAAGAAAGACAGACACTTTATCAAAGCAGAGAGAAAGAGAGGGTTGATTACCAACTCGAGTTTTGTGGGTCTCGACCCGTACCCGCAGACACCGTTCTTAAGTAATATATATACAATCGGTCGTTCGGGATACGATTCACTTCCACCACCGTTTTGCAACCCTAACCGCTACATCCAAGCTACAAACGCCACATTAAAAAAACAAAAATTTCAATTCACACATAAACCCTAATCATACACTAATCTTAAAGAAGACAAAGAGTGCCATTAACGTTACCGTTGATGCTGGTCACGTTTTCTGGGGCGGTCCATCCGTTACCGTTGATGTTGGTCACGTTTTTTGGGGCGGTCCATCCAAGTAATGAATCCGACCGCAAACCTCATCGCCGGTGCCACCGTACCTGAGTGGTCTACTTTGAAATCAGACCGATTGTGAGCCGTAATATTTCACGTCTTTCTCTCTACAAACCTACTTGTGTATGCAAATTCATCCTGCAATCATACGTAATGTAAACAACATTAATATTTTTATAAAAATCGAGCCATAAATAAATTACAAAAGAAAAAAAAACAAGGGTTAGTTGTGATCTAAAGGTGACTACCAATCCAGGTATTTATATAAAATTAAGAGGCGGTGTAATATCTACAACAAAAAAAGGAAGATTTATATATTTTTTAAGAAGCGAATCTATATCATAAAAATTAATAATTTAAAATTGTCTTATTCAATATTATACATATTAATTTTAAGTAACGTTTCATTTTATTTTAAGATAAAGATGGAATAATAACATAACGATTTAGATTTACTACTATATCTTACATTTGTTTAGATTTTCCGTCATTATCGACATAAAATATTTAAAAAATAAAATTTTATTAGAGATATGAATCAGATTTAAAGAATATACGTAGGATTGTTTTGATATTTTTTGCCAATATCTACTTATCAAAAAAGGAAAATTTAATTTTTAACTCATAATTATCACAAACGATTGGTTGGGAAAGAAAGAAAAAAACAAAAAAAAACGGAAAACAAAACGAAAAAAAAAAGAAAAAAAAAGGAAGACACACGACCATTTTCCGTCTCCTTCTACGAAATCCCACGTTTTTCATTACGATCAATGGAGGTTAATACACTTTCATCGAGTCTATATTCATTATTCGTGCATGATCCAATCAGATAATTCAAGGTAATTTTAAAGAACACCCTCTTTTATTAGCTTGAACTCTATGGTGCAGGATAGCATCAATAATTCAATATGATGGTTTGAAGACTTGGCATGGACAAGATATTAATTAAGAGTCGTCTTTCCATCATGTCAGATTCGATCAAAAGATGATGTTCTATCACTAAATTGTCGATTCTCTCTGGTTATATGCTATATTTTAGGTTTTCAAGTCTGGTATGTATATTAAAAAGTTTACATGCGACGAAGAACATGATGATGAGGTACGATGAACATCTTCTAAATTGGTACGTAAATTACAATCGATCCATTTTTTTTTAGGTTTTCTTATTTTTTCGTGTTTACGAATATTATTAATTTTAAAAAATGTTACAATCGATCCATTTTTTTTTAGGTTTTCTTATTTTTTCGTGTTTACGAATTTTATTAATTTTATAAAATGTAAATTATATCAAATATTCACTTATTA